CTCCGATCTTAAAGTCTTCCTGGGTCGGGGAGGTCACACTGCCGTGTTGTTTCTCCGGAGGAACTGGCTTCTGAGTACCTGTAATGACATCAGTCACATCAACTAAAAGCTGGGTTATAGACTGTTAGAAAATGACACTAGTACTATCCAAAGCCAGTGTGATGGTGGTAAGGCTTTCTCTTAGTGCTTTGTCTTGTTCTAACAAAGATTAAAGAGGACCTATTATACCCATTTTCTACTTTTTCAAACAGTCGATGTAGTCTAAATGAAACTTCTGCTCTGCCTTTGTCAAAATATAACATGAATCAAGCACCAGAGGAGGTTTGTGACCCTGTATAAACCAGCTCTCTCAGAACGCTCCGTTTTGGTGTGTGTCTCTTTAAATGTCTCTTTAAATACAATACAGTGTTCAAAAACACTGTAAAAGTGTTTTGTTTATATAATATGTCCCCTTTTAGTAAAAACTAAAAATTAAGAAAAGGGGGAAAAAACAGCATTAATATCATAGCTCTTTGTGTCATGATAGAAAAATGTGATGGAAGGCAGCAGACGTTTTTTTAAACATATATATTTTTAAATGACTTACGTGACTGCAGCTTCCATTTATTTACTCAATACTTGACTGGTCTTAATAAACTGTTCTTCAGGTATATTGTGGATGCTGCTCAAAGTACAATTTACACATAGATGACTTGTTTTTGCACAACATTTCTGTAAATGACTACTGCCAAAAACACACTATTAAACATACATATGTGTTTGCATCCCATCACACTTAGGAGGTCCGTGCGATCAATTCACTTCAGCAGGTCTTTGCTGATTAAATTATGATCTTTGTGATCACACTGACAGCCAGGTGTTGTTAAGAAAGGTCTGAAAGGTTTCTCAGTGCAAACACCGCAACATACAATCCAGCTTTGCATCATATTTGCATTATATTCCTCTTGTTTATAGGCTCATTTTCACTTTCACACTGTGCAGTTCATATTTATCTTCTTGTTTATATTATGAAAAGTTAAAACACTCATAACATCCTCCACCTGAACTTTCTCACATTTCCAAATTAAAGTAAGAAAGAGCTTAACAAGGACATAAAACAAGAGAAATGACCAGACGGTTAATGAACAAAAGGAGATTTAAAACAGCTTTAATGATAAGTGAGGATAAAATGACTAATCACAAAAACCTCTAAAGTAAATGGAAGAGAGTAATTATGTAACCGAGTGGTTTAAGAGATACTTCAAACAACACAACAGTATTTTTTAAGTTATTTCATTTCTGTCTTACCAGACGATGGAGAGGTTTTTGCTGGCACCCCAGATGGTCGGGCTATCTTAGTGGGGGGTTTGAGCCCGCTGACCTTGCCTGTGGTGCTCATGGCTGCAGCTTTGTCGCCTGTGGGTTTGGCCTGATCAGGGTGGGGGACTGGGCCTTTCCCACCACTCCATAAAAGAAGTCAGCTGCAAAAACCAAACATTTTGTTTTGTGAATCAATCAAAATATAAAAACACATTTTTGGTGGACTACTACACAAAAAAACAAACACATAAGACCCAATCAATCTGTTTTATTTTAGGAGTAATGATAATGTTGATTATTTTTCTATTGGCCATCATTAATAATCAAATATATTATTCTTCAATATTATATGATCAATTCTCCTGTCTCCAACTGCAACCACAACACCTCCAACAATTTTTCCACAACCCAGTGTTTACTGCCAGGCTATTTGTTATCACCATCTATAAAGATGACATCATCTGACCTTTTGCCATGTGTACAGTTTCACACTCGTCCAGTGTGTTTCATTTTATGGCTTTAATTAAATGAAATGAGACTCTAGCGTGAGACGGGCCTTTCTCCGGACGATGAGCTACATTTTGGTTTCTGCAGGTCTTGTAGGTGTCAGGCAGCGGCTCATGTATTTTATTAATAAAAGCAGATGATTCATTTTAGAGTAACTAGGTCAACACAGACATTCTGTTTCACACTGTGAAGGCTTCAGCATATCACTCTCTCCATAACTCCTTACTCTATGTAGTATGTATGTAAATAATCTGTTACATTTTAAAAGTCTTGCTTATTCATTTGTGTCAGTTTTTTGCCTAAAAATAGCAGATACAACTTCTATAATTCTACAATTTATTAAATTGGCAGATGCTTTTGTGTGAAGCAACGTATAAGAGAGTAAGCACAACATGAGCAAGGATCAAGAGAGGAGGAAAAAAAACGTCAGTTAAGTCAGTATCAGTACGTTTTTTTTTTTCTTTTTAAAGAAATATTAAAGTAATCATCATCAACAACAACATCGACAGCTGCTCATGTGAGTTCAAATCAGCATCAAAACCATTCTAAATACCGTCATCATCGTCGTCAATATCATGATCGTTTATACATTTAAAGATTTTAGAAAGGTGTCACGAAATTCTTGCTGAGACTGTAAAGTCATCTAGCGGGAATGACAGCAAGAGCTGGGTATCTTCAGCATAGCAATGGTATGACAAACCAAACCATGAGAGCGCATGATTGCACCAAGTGAGGGTGTGTACTGTATATTGAGAAGAGAAGGAGACCGAGCACTGACCCTTGAGGCACCCCTGTTGATAAATTGTGCGCTTTGGACACCTCACTCTAAAGATCTCCCTGAGAGGTAGGACACGAACCAGCAGAGGATTCAAGTTCAAGTAGCATGGACAAAAGGATTTGATCGTTCAAAGCCAGCTGACAGGTGTAGCAGCAATAGAAATGAGGACTGACCAGCAGCTTTAGCTAAAGCGATTCCATTACTGACAGTAGTGAAGTCTCAGTAGAGTGGCCCTACTTAAAGCCAGGCTAATTTGGGTCAAACATATTGTTTCTGGACAGGAACTCAGAGCATTTATTAAAGTATTTGCACTCGAGGAATTTTCGACAGTAAGGGCAGAAGTTTTCATCGTGGGCTGGGTTGACTGGGGTTTTTTGAGCAGTGGGGAACACACTCATTTACAGATAGTAGTCGATGATACACTTTTTTGTGCTGGGTTATGTATATTTCAGTTTTTATACCTATATGTATGTACATAACAGTTTATTTGCCATTATTTTTGTTTTGCTGTCTTACAACATTTTCCTTAAGTCACTTTGTGGCTTAAGTGGATAATTTTTGCAGTAACTCTACATTAGTCACAGAGCTGAGCCTTTGTTTTCATGAAAAATAAATACCTTGAAATTATTCAAAAAACAAAAAAACAGAGGTTGTTGAACAAAAACATACAGCTGTTCTACAAAAAATTCAAAATCCTTGCTGACTCTTCTACCATTTAAATAAAACAATACTCCATCTGCTGCTTAATTAGAAAGATTTTAACCCATTTCTCAAGCAGCAGCTCTGATTTCTACCCACATACCGGTAGCTGCAAACCGCACATCTCTCTGCTTATTTTGTAAGAAACTTTACTTAAATTATCGAACAAAAAAAAACAAAAATATATATCTTCATAAGAGAATATCATCTGGCATACCTTTTAAATGTTGGTTGATTTGCACACAAGTCACCAAACTATATGTTGTTGCATTTTAACCAAAAATATTATGTTAGTCCCTGGAACGAAGGAACGCTCAAAGAAACTATTCTTTAAAAGGATGAATCAAGAACTTAAAAGTCCACAAAACAACTCAAGTCAAACAAACGACTAGCCCTCTGAACTTTTAGCCAGAGTTAAGGAAGTATCCAGAACATACAGTCCTAACAATGTTCAAACAAGAACTGTTTCTTTGTAAAAAAAAAAATGAAGACCCAACACTCAATTCACACCCCTCCAAAGGATCCTGGCTCCTGTTGAAAATGACTGCTCAGGAATCTCAACTTCAGTTCAAAAACACAAAATAGATGTAAGTGTTTAGGAGACCTTCAGGGGTTTATCAAAAATGTTGCCAGAACTTCAAAATTAAGACCTGTGAATAACACGTTAATGGATAGTTGCTGATATGAGATGAGTTCCCCCAGTAGATTAAAACCCAATAAAAGCATGTTTTTTTTTTTTTATCTACACGATTTTATCTGACTGTCCATATTTATCTGACTGTACCTACCGTATATGCAAATGTCAGCGAATGAAGACGTCTGTTTTATAGACTAATAATCCAATGCACTGAGCAGGTAACAGGAACAAGCCCTTGTCTGCTGCTGCTCCCTGAACACAGACCAAAACAACCGAGCACACCCAGAGCTGTCAAATCTCATCCAGTCCTCTCTCAGTCTCCAGCAGCATGTCAGACTACCCCCACTGCTTTTGTTTTCAGCCTCAAAAAGGACAGTCTCGCCTTAAACAAATCTCCCATGAATATATAATAAGTCATTGTAGCAGATGAGGACACAGGTCTTGTTGTTTGTGCAGCATGGGCTGGGCTCCTTTCACTTGCTGCATCTCACAAGCCAGCAACTTAAAATTGCTGCACCACTTTACCCTCAACATATTAAAACATTTTTATTTGACATAATCGGGTTAACTTGATCAAACATGTTATTTTTCAGCGTCACACATTGAACTTATTCTTTGATTTTGTATTTATCTGTACTGAGCCCCCCCTCTCTCCCTCTCCCTAACGGAATGCGCTCTTGGACGCTAGCTAGCTTCAGATTTAGCTCAAAACTAGTTGTTAATTTACTGCGTAGGGCTCTGTTGAGATGATAATACAGCAACAAGAAGAGCGGACAATCGTGGAAATATTCTCTGTGATCTCTTACTTGGTCTCTCTTGGTGGAACTGGGTCTCAGTTAAGGATGTCGTGGGTGCGTAGGTGCAGCGTAACCTCGCACCGTTACATGTTTTTCCGAGCGGCTCTACTTTCCCTCAGCCCCAGCCCGTCTGACAGACTGACGTCACCTTGGGAAGTAATGATGCCTTCACGGGACAGAACGTAAACTCAGTTCATCCGACATCCAACCTCTTTTTATAGACAATTTCAAAGATTTCGAGAAAGGCACAAAGAGAAACGGCAAGAGAGTTGCAAAATTTAAACAGGTTATCTTATTTCTTTATTTACTGGAAGAAAAAAAAAGAAGTTGAAATATCTTAGTGGTGGGTCAATGTTTAACAGCGCAATCACACATACAAGTATTGCAGCCCAGTTTCACTATAGATGGGAAAATCTGCCAAATCATTTCTATAGGATCCAATCTAAAAATGTTTTTTTTTTTTTTAGGTAATGAGCAGGTACATGTTCCAAATAAAAGACTTTATAGAGCAATCTCTTACAATTAATATTGTATTATCCTTAGTATCTCAGAATGCAGATTGTTCTCTACAATAATGCAGCTATATATAACAGTAAGTTAGGACTTGCCAATAATAAATTATTAATTTGGTATATGAATAATGACAGTTCTGCATCTCAGAAAAAGTATCTTTCTAAAATAAGTAACTTCCACAAAATATTTAAGAAAGGTTTGTAAATAAAATTTGCAATACCAAGTTAATATTTTATTATACCAAGTCATTATTAGAAAATCTAAATGAAAGTCATAATCCTCACTAACAGAATAGATTTGGGCTTTCACCCTTGAGGGGTTATGTTAAGCCTGCTGTTTACACAACAGTAAATTGCTAATTTTACAGGCTGTTCAATTTTGTTGTAACAGTCACAGCATAACCTCTTCACTAAATCTTATTACAGTTATAAATCAGGATATTTTTTTTTAATCAGTAGCCTGAACTTTGAAATGCATCATGCATTCATGTAACAGCTTGAAATAGTAGCTGGTTTTATATTCTTCTACCATCAACCGTGGAAATGTCATTCTCAGTAGTGTCAGTTTCATCATTGCTCCTTCTCAGCAGTTTATTCAGGAGCTTCTGGAAGGTGCCGCTGAATGCCGGGCTCGAGAAATAATACACCACCGGGTTTAGGACACTGTTGAAGTACGTGAAACAAACGGATGTGTAGAACGCCAGGTTAGCCGTCTCAAAATACTTGCATTCTTGATACCACACCTTGAGGATCCACACGGCAATGCGTGAAACGGTGCTGGGGAAGAAGCAGGTAATAAAGATCAGAGCCACAGCGGAGACAAACTGCACGGCACGTTTGATTTTCCCATTTTTGTCCACGGTCCTGCTTTTCAGCTGCCAGGTGATTCTGATGGTGCAGAAAGCGACGATTGCCGTGGGGAGGAAAAACTGGACGATGTAGAAAGTGTTGTGCCAGGTGGAGAGGGGGCTGAAGCCCATGCAGATGTTGAAACTCTCACACTGAGTACGGTTGTTGCTTGTGAAAAAGTGCTGATCAGCGAGAAGATACCCGGTAGCGAGAAAAATCAGACACCAGAGAAAGAGCGAGACCCAGAGAGCGTAACAAAGACCCAACCTGTTGATTCGATTCAAAGGGTGGACGATCTTGAAGTACCGGTCGACAGCCACAGCCGTGAGGAAGAAGATCCCGGCAGCACGGTTTGCAGCAAGCAAAAAGAGCAGAATTCGACAAAAGGCGTCACCGTACAGCCAGTTTTTCCCCCGTCTGTAATAGTCTGCTCTGAAAGGGAGGCAGAACAGCACGATGGAGTCTGCAACAGCCAGGTGAGTCAGGTACACAGAGTTCGGCTTCCATGTATCCATGTGGAAGATGAACATCCACAGTGCCACAACGTTACCCGCCAGTCCAAACATGAACTCAAGGACCAGTATCGGAGGCAAAACCTGGTCTAGGATGGGAGACTCGAAGGCGCAGCACTCACCAAAGCGTGTGAGATTCATGCTTTAAAACGTCGATAAGGAGGTGAGTACCAATCTGCTGCTCCACACTGAGTCAACACAGGTACATAACGCTGTACCAGGTGATTTTCAACTCATGCAAATGATTCTCGGACAAACATGCTTATTCCTCGGTGGAGCGAGCATCTGTGCACTATCCGTTATCTTTTGGGGAAGTGATATTGACCCAGAGGAGCATGGAAACAACAGTAAATATTATCTGACTGGGGAGCACAGCCTCATTATAAAACTATTATGCAGCAGAATAAGGTTGACTCGTGGGGATAACGTGCAAAAACAAGCAACCTGCAGCCATTTAAGTGACTCACATAAGCCCTGAAAAATAAATGACTTTTTAGATATACCTCGTGAAACAAACTCAGAAAGAAGTACAGTTAGAGCGTAGAGGTGAAGGAGACTGAAATTTATTAGCCTACAGTTTGTTTGAGTGAAGAACATTTGGGAGGGATTCGCGTCATACCACACCTTTGGCAAACGAGAGGAAGCAGTTATTAGCTTAAAAAAAAATAATAATAATAATGCCAAGTGAGTGGCCAAGTCCGCAGCTTTTTATGAACAGTAAATAAAATAGGTAGAAAATGAATCAATGTGTGCATTTGGCCAGGTGTTTGTTGCTGTTACAGGTCACATCCGTTTCATTAAAAGTGCATATTTGGTCTTCACTTCTTCACTTCGCCCAGATCATCAATGCTGTCATCATCCACCTGCAACACAGAGACACACGGACCGACATCAGGAGTTGATTTCAAAGCTTGTTTTTGAAAAAGCTGACATATTGAAATGAACAGGTTTCAAATGTATGGATACATGTGGTGATGTGTGTGTGCGTGTTTAAGTGAGGTTTGAGCCGTTTTAGAAAATGATGACTTACTTTTTAATTAAAAAGGAACAAAGGAGTTACACAATCTACTTAGAAAAGGACAATTTTCATTACAATTGAAAAAGGAAATGTTTACTTTAAGAGCAGCCAGATCTGTGAGTCTAATAACTCAAATTAAATCATCGCATCGTTCTCCAAAATCCCATGTCCCCTTGGCTTTGCTTAAATTTAAACCAAACTGTTAAAAAAAAATGGGTCAGACTTAGAGCAACTTATCTAAGCCAATTCTGCCTCATTGAGCGACCCTAAAGTAGGGGTCAAAAGATTAAAAAAAAAAAACAGCCTGAATGGCCCAGGATGTAGGCATGGACATCTCGCTTCATCTCAAAATGTAAAAAGTAACTGAAAAGTATTTTAGTTTGTCCTGGTCTATTTGACCAATCAACATGATCTATTCAAATACTCAACATTTGATTGGTTGGTCGGGTTATATAAGAACTGGATACAGCAAGGAGACGAGTCCACGTCAGAATAGATCTTTAGATATAAATAAATTGTCCTCCTATGATGGGGGGTGTTGAGTTTAAAATTAAAAACATTATGGGCTTATGTATTATTAGATTCTATGACTTTACTAGCCAACATTACTTAACCGCCTTTAGCAAACAGTGGTGAATGTCCCAGAGTGAACAGGCTGGAGGGAATGAAGAAAGCAAGATAAAAATGGATTTGAACAGCTCACCTCAGGCCACTTCTCTTGAATCACGTCGATAATGTCATCTGTAAAATCTCCCTGAATGATTATTTCATCATCTGCTGTCACTGAGGCACCACAAGAGAACTTCTGAGCAAAGAACCGCTGAGCCTCTTTGAGTTCAATGTCTGAGGGAGTCAACACAAAATCCATGTTAAGAAAAACAAAAGCATTAACAGAGAAGGAGCTGAAGCAAAATGAAAACCACAAAACTCTTACCAAATGTTGCCAGGCCGCAAACCCGTGTGACATATTTCTTCTTGGCTCTTGGGATCTTTGCTATCGTAACTTTCTGAGGCACCGTCTTCTTTTTCTGTTTGATCTGGCCTCTTCCACCTAAATTAAAAAAGAAAAGTAAAGCTAAGACAGCAGCTCGCAAATGTTTCCTTTAACTTATTATTTTCATTTCACTTAAATGAGCACCGTAACGCTGATGTTGAAAACATGTACGGCTAACTCACCTCTCTTCTGTTTCTTCTTCTCCTCCTCCTCGCCTACAGGGGGAGCTTCTCCAGTGCCGGTTTCCTGCTTGGGTGCATTTGATGCCGGGCCTGTTGGATGGAAAGAAAATGGGAAAAATATCAAAACCGATCTGCCAACAAAGCACGTTCTTGTATAATGCCGGGATTTTTTTAGTTAACAGTTAGCGTAACTGCTGATCACTGTATGAAGTTTAAGACAGTGAGAACATTCAGGATTCCTGGTCTCTTCCAGGACACTTAAGTTGTGTTCAGATTTTTTTAAATTATTCTGATAACTTTAGTCCTCGTTTTCAAATACAATCTTTTGCTGCTTCAGGGCTTTCATGTGAATCTTCTGAATATATTTAACCATGTCATTTGTGCTGGAATGAAAATGGATCACTATTCGATTGACAGTCAAACGAATACTCTCCCACTTTAACCGTTTTAAACCAAACTACAGGGCACGTATTCTTAGAGCTTTAAGAAAATTCTTAGTATCATCAAAAATCCCCTCCAAGTAAAGACTTGTTTAGATGAAAGCAATTCACAAAGCGTCTTAGCCCTTAAGAGAGCTGCGAAGGGAGAACACTTCAAAGGAGAAGTGAGGAGGACTTTTAAGAGGCTGAAGAGTTTCTCAAGCAGAAGTGTAAAGAGATAAACACAAGAGAAACGTTCTGAAAACAGGGAGTTCATTAAACAGACTACACACTGGATCGTGCAGTGATCATGTTTGTGGTCGATCTCGTCGGAGATGCGCTCACATTTCCTACCCAACGCAACACATGGTACATCAACGTGAAGCAAATAAATATTACTATCAGCATGTGAAGAGGTTAATCCACAAGAGCAAACGTGATGTCAAACATTCTGGAAGCTATATGTCTTTAGTCTGTGTTATCTGTTTTGGATTTGATTTGATATTTTTGTCAACCTTGCACTTTCTTTGCTGCTCCTTATTTTACCTTTACTTGTCTATATGCCTTTGAATCACAGCACTAGATTTTTTTTAAAGGGTAAGTTAGGAGCTCTCTGGGGGAAATCTCAGATTGATTGAGATTATGAGTACAGGTGTGCAGCACCTTGAATCTACAGCCAAACATTTTAAAGAACATTACGCTCCCACAATGTAGGCCTGCTCGTGGTACCTACAGTCTCTAAATGTACTATGGGAGGTAGAGCCTTTTGGTTATCAGGCCCCTCTCCTTCGGAATCATCCACCAGTCAGGGTCCAGGAGGCAGATATACTCTGTACTTTTAAGAATAGACTTAAAACTTTCCTTTTTGATGAGTTTATAGTCAGGGCTGAGGCAGGTATGGACCAGCTCCTAGTTATGCTGCTATAGGCTTAGACAACCAGGGAAACTGGCTTCTCTCTCTCTCCCTCTCTCTCTCTCCCTCTCTCTCCCTCTCTCTCTCTCCCTCTCTCCCTCCCTCTCTCTCCCTCTCTCCCTCTCCCTCCCTCTCTCTCTCTCTCTCTCTCCTCCCTCCCTCTCTCCCCCTCTCCCTCTCTCCCTCTCCCTCCCTCCCTCCCTCCCCTGTGTCACTGGAAGCTGTTGCGGTTAGCGGGGTGAAACTACAACGCTAGTTCCTCATATTTTCAACCACTGAAACTACAGACCAATCACAGATCAGTGGGTGGGAACTCACTCCCAGAATCGAAACTTAACGTCCGGAATATTTCTTGGAAGCTATGCTAACAGGCTCTATGGAGAAAGCTAATAACGGCGAAAAAATATAAATATAGCGGCGAGATGGCTGCTGCTGACAGGCCGGTCTTGTGTTACGGCCGCTGGTCACTGTGACACAAGACCGGCCTGTCTGCAGCAACCGTCTCGCGGCTATATTGCTGCACAGCAGCCGAGACGTAAGGTGGCGGTGGTGAGGACGAGGAGCCCGGGCCGGCTTGAGCTGGGCGGACTGGTAGTGTCGGTGCTCTCACTGTTTGCCTATGGACACAGATATAGAGTCTGTTTTCTGCCCGGGATTTCCAAGATCAATTCTGGAAGAAATCTTGGAATCAGTTGAGGAAATGGTCTTATGTGTTGAAGTAAATATGTCTGTAAATGTTTTTATTACTATATTTCTTCTGCTATACTGTATATTTTGGATAAACTGTAACAATCAAATTTCCCTCTGGGATTAATAAAGTATTTCTGATTCTGAAATAGAGGACCTTAGTGGGAGTGGCCTGCGGTGCTGTGCATTCTGGGATTTGGTGTCTTTCATCCACATGAGCCAAAAAGACACTTTCTGCCTTTTCTCGGCCAAGAAGGCACCAACTTCAAAATGTATTTCACATTTCTACTACATATATGACCCAATGTCAACACAGATTCATGTTTCAACGGGTGAAGTATCCCTTTAAAGAACAAAGAGGAAGGTCTTTTACCTGCTTCTTGTAAAGTGTCTTCAGATTACATTTGTTATTTGCTATCCAAATGAAGATTGATTGATTGATGAAACAGAGGTGTGGGACATTGACGTGAATTACAGAAAGGACACCTAATGTATGAATTTACATTTGACAGACTTTTGTGAAAATAAATCCAGATGAGTATAATATGTTTTCTCAATATACACACGTAGCTTCAACTAAGAGCGTGTATAAGATGATAAGGCATTCGCGGTATGCTCGTATAAGAAAAGTTGGTACTCACCTACAGTCATTCTCGCAAATATATCCGGAAAGTTCTTCTCGAGCCAATGCCTACATTTGGCTGGCTCCGGCATGTACTCACAGTACTGCAGATACAACAGTGCAGAGTCAGTAACACAACAGTAAAACAGCTCGGGAGGTTATTTATGAGTAAGCCGATGAAACATCAAATGAATGTAGCTGTTTGGTCATTACACGTACCTCTGTAGGTAGAGAGCACACTGCAAGAGGAAGAGAATAAAAAACACTGTCACAATTTAAAAAAAGGTGCTGTAATAAATCACATTAAGATCGACGCGTGAGTGAAATGTTACACACTGTACCTCCACAATAAAGGACTTTCAGTGGGTGCTTTGAATCGGAGTCGACTGGTCCATGTTCTGATTTGCTTTCTGAGGAACCAGACTCCATCTCAGTAGTAGCCATCACAATTTATCTGGATTAGAGACAGATAGAAAAAGGACAAATGTGTGACTGTTGATGTAAATAAAGATTGGAAAATAAGAGCATCCACTCAAGCCTCACAACTGGTGAAGGATAAATCTTAAAAAAGGAGATTATAAGCAATGGCAGTATTTAATCATGCTTAACAAACTCTGATTATCTTTATTTACTGTCAGCAAGCACAGAGCAGATACACATTCCCACAGAGCCCAAAGAAAACTGCAGTCTTACTACTACTTGCCTTCAAAAGCTTGGAATAATCAACTAGCTTCTAGCTGGCTAACCCATGTGGCTATTCTACACACCGGTGGGCTATAAAAATATACATTTTTAAAAAAAGGTACAAAACTTGAAGCAATGTTTGCATTTCTAATATCAAAGTTGCAGTAGAGCACTGTAATCACTTTACAAACTCAACCTCGCCAAAAGAACTATCACCAATTTTTATTCTGAGTGGTTTCATTCATCCAGTAACGTTGACTCACCCAGCTGTCAGCCCCGTTAGCACCTCGGTGTAAGGGGGTTAAGCTAAGCATGCTAACGAGGCTAACGCACAAGCGAACAGGATTAACATTGAGAAAATGTCGCGATACATACCCCCACAAACTAATACTCTTAAAATTGTTGTATTTTCAGTGAATCCGCTCGCATTATTTCACGTTAGTTTGACTTTCAGATTGGCATTCTTATTGAATAAGGGTTAGTTGGCGTACTTGGAGCACGCCTAGTAGTGCTTCTTGTTTTAGTTGTTGTAGCGGATGTTAACGCGGCGTCAGAACGCAACAGCGCCGCCTGGTGACCGGAGGAAGACACGACTCAACTCAAGCGTGTAGTTCTTCTTCTTTGGATTTTATTGGCAGCTGGGCATCCAAAAAAAGTATGCATTACTGCCATCAGCTGGATTTAATTATTACTCACATTCCTAAATCCTCCTCAACAAAACCCCGTTCTCAAGAGATATTTAAACAAGCATCTTCGGCCTCTCCCTCTCTCTCCACACTCTTGGGAGACCTCTGATGGAGGTAACAGTCCGGACAGCCTGAGGAAAGAAGCTCTTCCTGAGTCTTTCTGTGTTCGCCTTGATGTGTTGAAGGTGTTGTGTTCTGGTTTTTTCGTGAATGAAGTCATAGTAAAACGAACCGAACCGACCTGTCAACCTTATAAACTGATTATCTTGAGCTTTGGTGTTGACAGAACCATTTAAATCAATATGATGAGGTGCAATGAATCAGGATGGGCATTATTTTTTTTTTATTGCATGGCGTGTAGACTAAATTATTAAAGACAATTTTTTTTTTAAATTTAAACTATTTGACTCCATTTTTTTGGAAGCTCAATACCAAATGGTGTTATATGATTCCAAATGAAACTAAAAATCTTAAAACACGCGATGGCTTCTCAGCACTTTGCGCTTCGTTTAGCCTACTTTTATTTTGAAAATCTTCCTTTTAACGATTTCTGCCTTTTTTTTTCCTTCCTGGGCTAAATATTTCAAGGATAAGACAGCTATACGACGAAAAAGACAATCAATACAATTAATTGGGAGCTTCCATAAATTACTTATATGGGGTTTGCAAGAATTTACTCTCTATTATACAACTTTTTTTTTTTTTTTTTTTTTTTTTTTTACCAATTCAGTTAAAAAGTTTAGAGAACACTTGTGACGCTGTTGTCCGATCCTTGTATACCTCACCTCATTCACCGATTCACATTGAAAAGTTTGACTAGGGTAAGCGCTAAGGTTGGCCAGAAATTGCAGTTTTTCAGAGACATTATTTACAGCTAATGGGATTTACAGTAACCTTGTGTTAAATAATACACACTCACCTTTTTTTTTAGACTTCTTGCTGCTGGTTTCTGAAAAGTCATCAACAAGCTCAACAAAACAACAATGAGACTAAAACAACGAGAGACAGAACACAAGTGGGTTGGTGCTGTTATGATGTAATGGACGAGCTTGTGGAGAAAGCCTCAGCCTGTTTCCTTTGGTCAAATGGTAAACATACACAGCAGGCTTATAATCTTTACCAACATCTATCATCTTTGTTTATTTGTGTATGTTTTCTATACAGGACAAAGAAAGCTCCACCCTGTAACATCCACTTTGACTTTGTTTTAGATGCATCAGCTGATTTGTGGCACAGTACTCCAGTTAAAAAGGTAACATTTCTGTCTTCTTCGCATATAAATTAAATGATCAATAGCATCGCAATTAAAATGCCTCATTCTAAACTTGTCACCTTTTTTAGAAAAATATTTGTGCTTCACCGGATACAGGCCAACCTCATGTCCTAACAAGTGTCAAGATGGACAGCAGCACACCAAAAAGTGGGCTCAAAGTACACCTCCCACCCAAGCAGACATCCTCAGCTCCACCTGCATGCTGGGCACAGAGGTGAGATCAAATATGGATTTCTAAACTCCTGGCTGCCTGCAGTAGCTGAAATGTGGGTTTAAGATTAATTAGTGTTGCTTTTAGGGATTTGTGACTGTGAAGGCAGCAAACTCAAACATATTTGCCGCCTGAGTCTCGGTTGTAAACAGAGTAATACATTCACGATGTACTTATATTAGGGTCCAGATATTTTGAATGTGCAGTCACAGATCAGTCAGTGAATTAAAAAAAAAATATTACTCTGTCAAGCTCAGCAAGCGTCTTACAACTGATCACTTTAATCTGGTAATTATTTCAGCGTACATGGCGTTATGTGTTTCTGTTGCTACAGTTTCCCGTGAGAGACCTGAGCAGCTCCACCATCCAGAGGCAGAGGAGAGAGCTGCAGCTGCTGATGGCCGAGCTGAAGGACCGGGACAGGGAGCTGAACACGATGGCCGCCTCCCATCGGAAGCAGCTTCAGGCCTGGGAACAAGACCGCCAGATGATGCTGACGTTGAAGCAAAGGTGTGCACGTCTGGATGGTAAGGACACTAACCCCCCCCACCCTTACATGGTACTGATCCAGTACTTATTCTAACACCAAAACTGCTAATTATGCGGAATAAGAAATCAAGAACACATGTTTATTGATGTTTCTTGAACTTGCAAATAGAAATTGTCTCTTCATGAGCTTATCTATTTCTGTATCATTTGGTTTTAACTGTGGACCTAAAGAAATTGTCTAGAGTTTTCTGGAGACTACTTAATCTCTTAGTTTTATTAAATGAACAGGTTATAAACTACATTTATTCTCTATTTAAAATGTTGGGTAACACTAACCCAACTTAAATTAAGGTCACAATATTCACCATTAACTAGTTGCCTATTTGCACGCTAATTAGTAGCATACTGGCTGCTTATTAGTCATTATTAAGCGCTTATTAGCATCTTATTCTACATGACCAGTGATTTATTTTGTTGTTTTATGTGCAGATGAGTTGCAGAAGCGTAACGAGGTGATCAGAGTTCTGACGAAACGCGTGTGGGTGGTGGAAGCCAGGGAGGAGGAAGTCCAGAAGGAGCTGAGCGCAGCCCGGGATCAGCTCTGTGAGCTGGAACAGAAACAGCAGCACGTCAGCCAAAGATGTGAAGACTTTGAGGTACCATAATAACATGAAAGAACAACAAGACCATATAGTACAATACACGTTTCTACCTTAATTTTTTATTTTTTTTAATTATATCTTAATTTTTAGACTATGTATATCTTGTAAGAATAACACAGAGTGATGTCATCTGAAGAGATCGGGTGTTTTTAGATCAACCAGAGTTGCATTGTTTTCAATTGATGGGATCATTTTGTTGACATGAACCAAAATTTTCCTTTGTATGTTAAAAAACAATACTTAATGTACAGAAAGAATACATTATTTACTGTTTTCCATAGTAATACTGCTTAAGGTACTCATTCTTCTCACAACTTTCATATTGATTTAAATAAAACTGTCTGTGAAGCTTTAGTGTCTCTGGATTCAGGATTCAGAGGGTTTAGTTTCTCGGCTGACATGTCTTAAGTGTCTGTGGTGTCTCTCAGGAGAAGAACCAGAGTCTGAACTCGACGCTGATGGCTCTGTCTACTCAAGTTGGCTCACTGCAGGTCAGAGAGGAAGAACTGAGGTCCATGCTCAAACTCAAGGTGCGCATGTAGACTAATGTCTTTGTCACGTGTGTAACTATATGAATGTGTCTGTCTTCTGATTAACATGAATTTAGCGTTAAGCGTTTAGTGTCTGAATCCTCTGCTGGGTTAAAGTGATTTGTCTCTTTTCCCTATCAGGACAAAGATGTGAATGAGGCCTCTGGTCAAATAGTCGAGCTTACGGGGCGCCTAAGAGATCTGGAGACGTCGCTAACAGAGAGTCGTTCGCGGGAGAGCAAACTGCTGAGAGACTCGGAGGAAAATAAACGGCGCCACAAAGAGGCCAGGCATGAGATCACAAATCTTAAAGGTACATGATAAAAAAAACTCCAGTTCCATACGTACATGAGAGTTTGTGCATTTAAGGAGACAGTGAAAGCTATAATACATCTGATGAGGCTTCAGACCAAGTGGCAACCTCCGGTCTTAAAAAATGAAGCCGATGTGGAAGTGCAAAATCCTGCAGTTAGTCGAATGCTCCAAGTCACATACACACCACAGCCAAAAAAAGAGCAGCAGTAATTAATATGTTTACAGCCTGGTACATAAAACCAATAGGTCTGATTAGTTACTGTCGACATGGGCACACAATGTATATATTATTTTTTTAAATAATGCATCCGTTTTGAGTTTTTTTGAACAATTCGTGTTATCCATAGTTAGGCGCGTAGCTGAAATGATTGACAGGTGGTTGTGGTGGTTTGCCATAAGGGTTAAAACCCGCCTCAGCTCCAGCTCTCAGCCTATCGTTAGGTTGACTGAAAGTTAGGGTGAAAACAGAATTTCCAGCCTGGCGGCTGCTGCTGCCAATGACCCTCCGGAGCTGTCACATCCCATCTGGGTGACGTCACTCAGGCTTCGTCCATTAATATTTACAATCTATGCTTCAGACATATTTTTTGTATCGATCATATCTCAGCATTAAAGTAAACCAGAAACAACAGCCAGAATCAGTGATCCTATGACGAGAAAAAAGGCAGCAAATCTGCACTTATGAGAGGTGAGACCTGGAGAACTTTTGGTGTTTTTGATGATGATACTGTATGGTCAATACAATGAATCGTAAATAGTTGTCTATGTATTCCTTAAGCATGTTATCCTCTTGTGTTTGTAGAGGAGCTGCAGCAGCAGGTGACACAGAGCAGCACTCAGAGGGAGGAGATGATCCGTCTCAAACAGGAGCTCCAGCTGCTGCGCACAGATCTCGCCTTCTCAGGTTTGTTGCATTTTCACTGTTTCTCACATATGCATCTGTTTGGATATAAGAACACGTTATCATCGTCAGTGTCGACTCGTTTCATGTTAAACATGTTTTTTTTATAACCTGAGAATCTGACATCACATTTGTTTGTGTTGGTGTCAAAACTACACAACACACTTTAGACCAGACACACAATGTTTCCAATAAAGAAAAGCTGCTCCACTATTATATTACAGGCTAGAGTCAAGACACAATATATTGTTTGCGATACATGTTTTTTTTAGCTAACCCATACCCATACAGGTAATCACAACTGATTTATAACAGACTGAAGATCTTGGCACTAAACTGAACCCTACAGTTCACGGTAGGTGCCGTTTAAATAGAGCTGGTGTAACATTCACATGTAGGAATATTTCCCTTTTTATTATTTACATGATATTATGAATATTTACCATTCTTGTCCTTTAAATCTCAACTTCACAATGACTGTATCTCTTTTATTCAAACTCTGCATTCTACTTTTTCTGATTTTGATCTATCAATGAGATCTCTTTAGTGACTTTCAAAGAGAAGTGCAACATGTAATGCTCGTCTTTCACCAGGCGAGGGAGACTGCTGGAAAGACGAGCTGCTGGAGCTGGCTCGCTCCAAACAGGAACGCACCATGTCAGAGCTACGCTGCCTCCGCCAGGTAGAGTTTGACACGTTTCAAATCAAGCAAAAGACTCAGGAAAAATGGACAAACAGATACAGCCATGAATGAACAGAGCATTCCTTTATTTAACACTTCTCAAGCTGTTGAGGAATACGTGTTTCCTCATTCCTCGTGCTCATGTTGTTGTTGACGGCAGTGGTGTCTTTCTGGTTTGGCAGCATACCTCAGAGTGATTGTGTGGTGTCAGGACTGTGGCTGCGTGGCTCTGGGTCACTGTCATGTCCACTGCTTGTTAATTCACACTATTGTAAAAAAAAAATGTTGTATAGAATTGTAAAATCCCAATTAGTGTTTTTTTAAGATGAACAACATGTTCATTTTTTCAGATCTCTTTCTGGGTCCCTGTTTTGAGTCAAAGAAGTTGGGTTGTTCCCTATTGAGGTACAAGCACCAACATAGTACATTTATATATTGAATGACTTCAATCCTTCATCATTTTGAACATGGATTCAATATTATGTTTCTTTTTATTTTACATCTTAAACAAATTGTAGAATTTTCCCTTCACAGATTGAGACAACCTGCTCATCTATTACCACTGTGTTCTTCTTTAAGCCAACCCTGTTGTTGGGTTTTTTCCTTCTCAAATCTTCAACTTTAGAAGCAACTGAAATGTGATTTGGTGTCATTAGCTTACCCTGTCTATTCTATTAAACCTGCTTCAGTTAGCCTTTAAGTACTATTTAACAGAAAGATACCCGTTGTCACATTTCTGGTTACTGTTGGCAACGCAAACAGTGTTTACATTTTCACTGAACCCTGTACAAGTGAATTTGATTCATGCTCCATTCTCATGAGGTAATCAGGGGGGTAAGGGGACTTAAAGTCCGGGATAACGATGCTCTTCAGCTCCATGTAGCTCTGTCATAGCTAACCATGCTCCAACCAAGATCATCGAGATTAAACGATAACTTTGCCGCATGCTCGTGCTGCGCTTGTTTTCTCCTAGGATCTGTCGTGTGTGGTGAATGTTTCAAAGTGTTTGTTGTTATATTTTGACCATAAGAGTTCAACACCAGTACCTCAAAAACATAGTTGTCAATATCAATCAAAATAATCGAGATCATAATTTAGGCCAGTACAGAGCAGGGATCGGCCCAACGCAAAGGATCTTACATTTCTGGGACTCCTCGCACACATTCTGTTTTACTAGTAAAGATGCTCTGACTGCTGTTTTCAGCGTTTGATGGTTTGTATCTCAAAATCTTAAAACAAATCAATGCAATGAATACGCATAATGCTGTTTGCATGTGTTAACAGGTGTGTGATAATCAGCGGAATGACCTCCAGCTTTTGCAGTCCAATTTGGAGAGTGCCCGTGACAACCTGCGAGAGAGGGCCAATCATGGATTACCAGCCAGGTGAATACTCTGCAAGAAAAGCAAGACGAAGAAAAAGGGAGATTTGATTTCCAGATTTCTCTTTGAAGCCAGCGCTATAATAAAGAAACACACAGTAGTATGAACTTTTAACAGCAAGAAAAACACTCATCCTGGCAGTTAACGATGGCTACACAGATAACCACGAGATAAATCATGTCACATCCTGGTTGCAAAGACCAGAAGTGTGTGAGAGTGTGATACTATGTCTATGCTTTCTTGTCTTTGTGTCTCAGTCAGGATGAAGTCAGCTGTGCTTGTCCAGAGAATTGTTCACCTTCGTCACTCAGGGGGAAGAATTTCAAACTGTCTCATGATGGTTCGGTTTTAGCGGCAGCTCACCAACACAGAACAGCCAACTTGGAACGGGGAGTCTGCGCAGCACACCTGATAGATGTAAGGCCTCATATGAAGAGCAGCAGTGTCTACTACTTCATCAAGGAAGAGTCAAGATTAAGTAACCATGATCACATAAACAAAAAAAATGATGGCTTCATTATTGTCTCTTTTGCAGAGGTTATAGAAGATAATGTTACCAAAGTTTTTGTCAATCTTATGTCATGAAGTTAAAGCTAGCACCGTGTTAGATTAGCAAAGGACTGGAAACAAGAAAATGCTAGCACGGCTTTGTTCAATAAAAAGGTAAGGTAATCTTGAAAATCTACTCATTACAGTTTTATGTTTTACATTTTTTTTGTTTAATTTATACCAAACACAAAGTGTAAAAACCATCACATGGTCCCTGTCTGATTTTTGTTTCTGGATTAAACAATGATAATACAACATGTTCAGTGCTGAGCATTAGAGGTGCTTGTTTTTACCTTTTGAACTGAGCCAGATAAGCAGTTTCCCTTGTTCCCATTCCTAAATGCTATGCTCAGCTAACCGTCCTCTGACTTCATCTATAAATTCATCAGAGGTAGAAATCCAGTGGTTTGAATCTTTTTGTCTAATTCCCTTCAAGAAAGCCTTGAAGTGAATTTTTGAACCATTCCTTTCAGTCGATCACTGATTCATGTTTTTTAATCCTTTTCCTGCAGGGTGATGATTTTTTATCCAGCCGTTCTCTGCAGCAGCTCTTGGATGAGTCCAGGCAGGTCATTCAGGCCAGTTCAGAGCTTGGGGCCTCTGAATCTTTGTACCATCATAAGAGCCCGACATCCCCCCACCACTACCACCAGCGCCAGCCATATTCCCCAACAGACAAGGTAGAGGAGTTTCATCCATTTGTATGCATGGGGTGGGACAATAAGGAGGAGTGAAGTGTTCAGTTAAACTGCTTGTAGTTTGGGTGTGTTAAGACATTACAGATTTGTTTTCTTTTCCCCAACAGGTTGGTGAAACTCCACCCAAACCCTGCCCTCGACACAGTGCCAGCAAAGACGTGTGGACGGCCTGATATAGATTGAAACAATGACTACATGAGAATTTCCCAAACATTTCAAAATACGTTTTACTATGAAAGTATGAACTCCACTGTTGCTCAGAGAAATAACGTTTTAAAATACAGACTTTCATGAACTTGTCATTTTTATACCCCATAAATTTTTATTTTTATTTTGTGCCTCCACGCTTTTTACATTTAATTTTTATTTTTATTTTGTACGGCCATAAAAAACTATATGTTTTATATGTTTATAAAAATATGTTTTGACACCCTCTATAGGTTTTTAAAGGCTGAGTTGTGTTATGTACCTGTGATGTGAAACCAGTCCTACAGGGCTGTTAGGTGGTGTGTCCTTTTGTCATTCCAGTTTCACCGCCTACAAGTCTGCAGGGTGACTCAGAGGAAATGTAGATAGCTGTTTAAAAAAAACAAAGTTCTTGATTTGGATTTGTAACTTTGTCATCTTTTCGCTATTTTATATGTAACATATTTAAGCACAAAGTGCGTTTGAATATTGTTTATACTAATCTCAAAATAATCTCAGATTTTCATAGAATCACAACTGTTTTTGTTCTGGGACGCGTTTTTGCTCAGTAGGGGACTTTTTACATCCATGACACGTTTCTTCGTTTACTTCTTTGTGGAGGAATACTGCGATGTTTCAATCTGAAGAAGCGACTTTAAAGAGAAATCTTTTGGGGACGTGCGCACGGAGCGTCTGACGCACCTATTGGTTTTTTTTTTTTTAAAGAGGCACCAGAGCGCACAGGAGGTGAGGAGCTGACACCTTGGATTCATACATCTCAAGTTCAATTTGCGTGGAGTATAGCCTCAAAATGAGTAAAAGCAAGAACAAAAGTGACAATAAGACGGAAAAAGCGTTGGCTGCGGAGAAAGAGCAGTTTGGCAAGCAACAGGTGAGTGATCGGTTTAATTAAAACAGGTTTAAACTTTACCCCACTGGATTTATTTTGTCCGTCACGGAAGGAGGAGTGCTACACAAAGATATACTGTGTTTTATTAATAGTCTATAAGAGACATTTAATGACTCGGCCTATTATTTTAATTCTTGTAGGCGCACTACAGAACAGAAAATATTTGGTTGAAGTGCAAACAGAAACGTAGGACAATCCTACAAAATAAGTAGTTTATTCTTGATAGCCTTCATCAATTTAAATGATTTCAATTCCCATTTACATATTGCATGAGATGTTTTGTTGTACTTAAGGAAAAATAGACTGTAAAAATCCAACTTTTTGGTTTTAACCGGCAGCCAGTTGTTTACCTTTACCTGTCTGTTTTCTTTCAGCTTCACAGCATCAGCAAAACAGTCACCTCTACTGAAACACCGCCCAAAGAGAAATATGTCCGCGGTATCCTTTTATTTTGAAATCAAACCACATTGTTTCCCTTTTACAAAAACACCTACAACCAACCATTTTTTTTTATTTGACTATTTTCTTTAAAAATCTAATCAATAAAGTCAGTCAGCTATGAGTAACAGCTACTTATGCACATGAACCATCCATACCACTTTTTTGTTTATCCTGGCTATGTATTGTGGGCTCATGTTTTTTGTATGGGTGGGATATGTATGTGTTGTGTTGTATGTTTGTATGTATGCTGGCTGCTGGAACACCTAATTTCCCTGCTGGGATGAATAAAGTATATCTTATCTTATATTAGTTTAGCACGCTTCACCATTAATTCACCATTCAAGTCTGGCATGTTGGTAGGCTAACATATGCTCCTGTTGTGGAAGTGTATTTTATTTATTTTTTACGTTCAAGTTGAAGCCAAAGGTAGGCTACTGCAATTTCAGTTACTTTTTGAAGGTAGGAGTTTAAGTTGTCAAAATTGTCATACAGTAAAAAAAAAAACAGCAGACAATGAATCATGAATTTCAGCTGGATTAGGGAACAGGTGGCAAAGAATGAAGGCCACTACAGTTAAAAGAAATCAAACTCTGGTGACAACAGCTAAAACTAAAAAACCTTCCTGACCATTCGATGTAAGATTGTTGAGTAATTTCAGTAAAACTAGTCAACCAGGATTTAATTTAACAATCTACTCGTTAAAGGTTGAATCTAGATTGTGCACTAGTATTTTGGAGTTTCCTTGACAGCTGTGAAGAAATCATCATAGGAACATATAAGGAGGCCGGAGCTACAACCTTCTGGTCCTACGCCATCAACCTGCCTCTGTCCAGCCATTCCATGGTCAGCTGGAAGTTCTGCTATCTGCTGCACAAAGTGCTGCGTGGTGGACACAGAAATGTGAGTTTGAACATTAAAAATGCTTCAATCTTGCATTTTACCTCTTGTTTTTTTTTTTACTTATCTTTCGTCTTGATCGTCTTGATGATGCGTTATCGCTCTTCTCTCTCTCTCTCTCTCTTTTCTCTCTCTCTGTCTTGCAGTGCGTCAGAGATTCTCACAGATACTGTCGCAATATTAAAGATATGGGCGTTCTCTGGGTGAGTAGCAGAGATGATTTTATTAAGTTAGATACCAGTGTAAAAACCTTGCAACTAATCCCTCTTGAGGTACAAGCACCAACATAGTACATTTATATATTGAATGACTTCAATCCTTCATCATTTTGAACATGGATCCAATATTATGTTTCTTTTTATTTTACATCTTAAACAAATTGTAGAATTTTCCCTTCACAGATTGAGACAACCTGCTCATCTATTACCACTGTGTCCTTCTTTAAATTTCATATTTTATCTTATGCAACTCAACAACCATCAACGACTGACTTCTTATAACATTCACCTTTCATTTTATTTTAGGGAAGCTTGCATGATCGATACGGCCACATTGTTGCCTTGTCAGCCAAATATCTCTGCCACAAAATTGAATTCCATGTGAAGGTAACATAAAAATAAACAATTTTATGGTTTATATATAGAGAGATTTCACAGTGTCAGTTTATTAAAAAAAAGGTTGATTTCCAATAATAAAAACCTCCTCTTCAGCACGAGGCGATCCCAGGAAACCTGGAGGTCAGCGATGAGACTTTAGACAGAGAAGCAGGAACAGACGTGACCAAAGTGTAAGTTTGTCACTAACAAATACAGCACATCTTATTAAAAGAAACAGTTAAACGCTTTTATTAATTGTTGCTTTATGTATTGTAGGTTGGATATGACACAGGAGCTGCTGGATTGCCTGGATGCTGGACTAAAGATGTCTGAGACAGGTGAATCCACCTCTTCATGTTTTAAAGAACTTACATAAGGCTATGTCACTTTATAAACATTATAAAAGTGCAGAAAACCACTGGACTAGTCCTTTAACTGAGCTTTAATGTCTTGTTTATATTCTCTGAAGTTCTGCGTCAGCTTGATGCCAACGGGGCCAAACCTTCGACCCCAGCTGGACAGTGCAGACTGACTCCATTGATCCCGCTCATCCTGGACTGCAGCTTCCTCTACCACTTCTCTGTGCTGCTGATGTTCAAACTTCACAGCCGTGAGTGTCGGAGAAAAATGTTCGTCATCAAATCAAACCTTACTGTACTAGACCTCCAAAATTCATCATGTTCTTCTGTGTTTTTTAGGCATCGCACCAGACACTCTTCTAGGTCATCGAGAGCGGTTCCGTGATCTATTTACAGGGTAGGATTTCAGTGTAACTGAAGTAATATAAGGCAAAAAATAAAAGGTATTATCCCACTTAAAGGTCACATGTTATACATAATACACTTCGTCGTGGTTTTCTAACACTAAAATGTGTCCCTATCCTTTCTAAAAATCCCCCAATTATGAGAAAAGTCCATCCTCTCCATCATTTACCTGCTCCACCTGCACCGTTTGGAGATTTTCCCTTTGTGACATCACAAAGGGCAGTAACCCCTCCCTCAGGTTGGTGACGCTGACACAGCAAGGTGTATGTTCTGCTCTCTGAGTTTGCATTCTCACCGTAAACAATCGGGCATGAAGCGAGAAAGCGCAAGCCACCCAAGCCCTACCAGAGAGGGGGCGTGGTCAGACACAGCTCATTTGTATTTAAAGCTACAGACACAGAAACAGCCTGTTCTGAGCAGGGCTGAAACAGAGGGGTTTGTAGGCATGATAAAATGTAGGATCAGAGTGGATTAGTAACAAGAAAATTCACAGACATGTTTTAGGGAGCTCTGAGATTTATTTAATCTGGTTGGAGATGAGTATAATGTGGACCTTTAAATCTCTACATCAGGGGTTCCCAAACTTTTCAGCTGATATATATTTCTGTATTCTTTTTCTTTGGTTGTCCATTTCACGTTCATCACTTTATAGCTGGGAAAGGGGATTTTAAAGCAAACAGCCCGACCAACACTGTCAGAAAAACATGACAACCTCAACCTGTATTACAGTCTGCATAGTCCAACTCAACGCAAACGTATGTGTTGTCTACTCCCAGTACTGTATTATTAAGGGTATTTAATCGACGCATTTCTACAAACACGTAGGCAGCAGCTTCAGTAACCTGGGGATTGACAAATTGATTACTGCTTAGTTGAAAAATCGTCTTTATTTTTACCAGTTGTCTATCTGTTAGGCTGACTGCTACCTGTGATATTTGCTAACTAACTTCACCAAAAGAAAACTCATCCCCAGCCTGGTGGACTGGAAAAAGCCAATGTTTTCTTCCCTTACATCTGACAGTTAAAATAGATTTGTTACACAGGTTGATCAGTATTACAATGACAAAAAATGCCTTTGTATGCTATGTCTTTTATTAACCTTGCATACATCTTTTTTCGGTTCACTCAATCACAGTCGTGTTTTTGTTTTTTTTCACAGCCTGAAACAGTTCTTCGACAGAGCCAGAGAGATTGAGTTCTTTAAGAGTATCATCCGGATCCCTGATCTCCCAGATGTAAGTACGGAGTTTTCTCTGATGCTTCAACTTAAACTTAAATAAAGTTTTTTTTCTGTTGAAATAACATACATTTTGGTTATTAAACCCCCGCAGGCTCCTCCGAACTTCCTCCGCGCCGCAGCATTTGGCGAATATAAAAAGGCAGTGGTGGTCATGCCCAATGAGGAGCGGCTAGATGGGGAGGAAGTGGAGCGGCAGCCGAAGGTGCCACAGGTAAGCCTTCACAGAGACGGGCTCAGAGAGAGAGGAGCATGCTTTTTTTTGTATCTGAGTTTTTCTCCACAGAGATGCACATTAAGGAAATGAGCAGCAGGTCCTGTTTGTATTTAAGACGGGGGAAGTAACCTTTAGCTGAAAATATGAAGGAGTTTGGAATCTTTTGCCTCATAGTCACAAAAGTTAATACTGGTAACACATCTTCATAAGAAGAACATTCACAATGATTGAAACTTGTCACAAAATCTGACAAAACAGCGATCTCCCCTTTTGTGAGATCTGACAACAAATCTCTACGCTCTGTCGGTGCTGAACGATCGGGGCTGTCGATGTTGTTTTCAAAATATGGTAAACACAAAATGAGAGATTTCTATTTGAAAGTTAGATTCAAGGTTAAAACAGAAAGGAAAATGTAGAAATTTGTATTTTTGTTGTTATCATTGAACTGGTCTTGAAGGTAGATAAAGGCCACTCCTGCTTAGAAGGCAAGTAGTGCTTTACATTTCATAGCGTTGGTGTAGCTTGAAACTCGTATGCCTTGTCCTGGCAGTACTATCTGATGAACCAAATGGCAGCACCTGACGAGAAGAAGAACACAGAGAACGAGAGTCTGAAGAGAGAGCTGGAGGTGCTCAGACCAGAGCTGAAGCTCATCAAGACTGAGGTCAGTAGATCAGTTGAGCTGCTCGGTACACATTTCCAGTACAAACCCTTTGATATCGCTGTAACATACCCCCTTATTCATGCCTTTTTCCTTCAGGCTCAGAGGGCTGTTATTGAGTTAAAGTCTCAGGTGAACCGTCTGGAAGCGGAGATGGAGGAGCAGCGCACACACAAGCAGATGGCCATGATGGAAAACGAACATCTGAGGATGGAAGTGGAGGCTCTGCGGTCTGCTAATGTGGCAAGTGTTGGTGCTCAGATTGGATTCAAAGAGGCCGACAGTGAGTACACAGATTTGTTTAAAAAAATCAATTTAAAAAAAAAAAGACACAGGAATGTAGCTAACTCTTACTGAGATCCTGTTTCTTGTTCATTGTGCAGCCAGGGCTCAGGCAGCAGAGCTTCGATTCACTCAGCTCAAAGACAGACATGCAGAGCTGATCAGCAGCCATGCTGACTTAATGAAGAAGGTGAGCTGCAACATCAGAGTAGAGGACAATGTCGACATTTGTGGATATAATTGTCTTACTGACACTCAGGGAGAAGACGATTTGGTGTTTTTCTTTAGATGTCGAACCTGTTAAAGGCAGTCTTTTATTTGTGTGTGATTGTGCAGAACGCAGAAACGGTGAAGTTGCTGTCCAGTACAAAACACGGCCAAGACGATGTGCTGCGAGCCAATCAGCAGCTGGAAAGTGAGCTGGAATATCTACGACAGGAGAAAAGAAACATGGTGGGACCTCGTCGTCATCTTATCCATAACCACTGCAGAACAATATGGCTACATCTGCTGATATGCTCAGTTTCAACCTGGAACTTTACTGTGTAAAAAAAAGACTGCCCCTCATAATGTACTACATGTCTCCTCCTCTGATCAGATGAACCAACTTCAGGAGGTGGAACGCCTGAACAAAGAGCTGCTGGAGCAAAGAGCAGAGCTGGCTCTCCTTCGCAGTACTCTGGAAAATAAAGAGAGGGTGAGACATAATCTTCAAATATGAACATACTCTTTTATCAGTGAAGCAAGTATTAAAGTTACTATAGCTCAGTAGTAGTGGCAGACATTGAACATCTTATCCTAAGCTTAGTGTATACATCATTATTCACAGTTATGTCAGCAAGCTGTTAAAAGTAGACAAAGTGGATGAATCGCTCTTTAAGGAACCCACAGTAGGAATAAAAGTAACAGAACCTAAAGCTCTATGCCCTTCAGGTGGTACAAGAGTAATCAAATACATCCTTGTTTTAAGAGGCTTTTGTTGGTAAACAATTAAGTAGAAAATATCTACTTTAAAGGGGGTTCAGTCGGAGCAAGAGTGGTTGAAGCGTCACTTTTTGAATTGACCCGAATAAGTACAAAAGCAAGCGAATGCATCACAAGCCTTATTCAGACTGCCGTTTCAAGTCCCGATATTTACGCCCCTGTGACGTTTCACATTCGATCTGAATGTCGCGGAGGCGTAACGGGGGGGGGGGGATGAAGTGATCCCCCCTCATAACCGTCTTCGAAGGTAGTAATAGAGGCTTTACAGAGGTGAGACAGTTTCAGCAGAGTCACGTGCGGCGGCGCAGTGCTGTGTGTGCGTGCATGTCTCACTCTGTGTCTATGTGGAGTTCCCACTGTGCCACGTGCTTCTGCAACGCCAAAACGCAATGTGAAGTCACAGACTGGGACACCAACATTACTCTGTTGCAGAATCAGTTTGAATGCACGATGACCTGATGATGGCGGAGGTTATTAACGGCACTTTTGCAGAGTAAAAAAGTCTGAAAATGGCTTTAGTTAAATTGCACCTCACTTTGCTCAAAACTATTTGGAAGCATCAACATTCAAATTCATATCAGTTTGTTTAAGAAATAAGCAAAGGCATCCTCTTCACAGTCAGTGAATGCATCACAGTTACAATGCTCTCAGATAGGAACTGAAGTAAGCAGGCATATCCTCATTTTACTGTAAACCTTATGGCTGATTTAAACTTCCCAACAAACTCATCATCAGCACCACCATCAGGCCAAGTCAGAAACTGTGAACCGAGCCGTTTCATAAATCTAGTGGAGTGGGGCGCACCCTCCAAACATCCCTGGATTCAAGTCTGACCTGTGGCTCTTTTCCTGCTTGTCAGTCCCCTATATCTGGTTTTTCCCTATTGAATGACACTTTACAGCTTTATCCTGTGATTTTTTGCATTCAGAGATGTTTTATTCACCTACATTTTTTTTTGTGTTTAAATGTTTTCAGGAGGGATCTCAAGCAAGCGGCAGCCTGGCAGCTCTGCAGGCCGAGCGGGAGGTGCTGCTGCGATCTGCCAGAGAGAAAGACTCAGAGTTGTCCTTGTTGAGACAACAGGCCCAGCATCAGCAGGGCTCCCTGGACCTGGAGAGAGACCGGCTCAACCGAGAGCTGGAGTCTCTTAGAGCTCAGCTCCAGCAGCAGGTACAGACTGGGGACAGAGCACCACAAAGAATTGTCATTAACATGCAGGATGGGGCACATAGCTGAGGACTTCACTGTTTACCACTTCCATTTTCAGGTCAATTTGAGACTTTGTTTTCATATTTCATTGTCCAGTAGCTCCAATGAAACAACTTTACTGTCACAAAATGAATAACAGCATTAAATCATTTTATTTAAGAAGCTTAAACCAGCAAATGTCAAGACACTTTGCTTTAAATAACAGCAAAGCGCTACATTGATATGAACTATTTGGTGCTTTTTTTTCCCCCCTTTTTTTCCCTTATTTTTGTCTAATTGTTGCAGCTTTAATGTCTTTACCTCATGTGTAGCCCTTCGACATTGTCTTGTTTTTGAAAGGTGCTAAAGATATAAACTTGCCTTGTGTTCCATAAGCTCACCATCAACGCGGAGCAGAAGTTGGAGATCGACCGTCTGAGGCGAGAGCTGGACTCGACACGAGCGGAACTGACTATGGCAAAAAACGCCCTGCAGAGCAAAGAGATGGTAGGAATATTTTCCCCTTAACTTCATCCTCTACCAGTCCTCATTTGACAAATCACAGTTTTAAAACAGTCATGCCTGTTTTGATCCTCAGAGTGGGACCCAGCTGAGCAGTTCACTTGCAGGACTACAGGCAGAGAGGGAGGTGCTGACGCGCTCAATGAGGGATCAGGAGTCCGAGCTGAACTCCCTCAGACAGCAGGCTCAGCTCCACCAGAGCTCCCTGGAGCAGGAGAGGCAGAGGAGCAGCATGGAGCTGGGAATCCTGCACACTCAGTTACAGCAACAGGTACTGCACTGTTTATGACTGCGCGATAAAGCTGTAGTTGTCATGGTGGTTAGTTACTGACGAGAGCGATTATCTGAAACTTCAGGCGTGTCGTGAAGGAGAGCTGGCCAAGAAGCTGCAGGAGGAGCAGTTCTGTCTGCTGCAGTGTGCTGTGGTGGAGGCTGAAGGCATCATACTGGATGCTGTGGCCAAAGTGGACGACCCCATACATATCAGCTGCATCAGTTCCCCTGGTAGAACCTCTCATTTCCCCCCTTCAAAAATAACATTTGTTACACTGTATTCACCGAATAAGATGGCTCTAAATACAATGATTTTGCCCATCATTAACTACTTCATTATAGTGTTTGTAGACCAGGAACAGCACAGAACAGGAGTCCACACCGCAGCAAATGCAGCGCCTCCGGAAGTGTACTAAATTTGCAGAATATACTGCTTTTTTCTCTGTTGTTTTTGGAAGCTGCCGAGGTGAACACTCAAGGAACTGCAGTTTTTTTTCACTTCCGTATCAGCTTCATTTTTCAACACTGGAAGTTGCTGATTGTGGGAATCCTTTTTTTTTTTTTTTTTTTTTTACATTTTAAAAAACACTACACTTTTAACATATAATAGAAGAACATTTTCTGAAAGAACATCGCTTTTAGCTATTAGTCTTAAATGGCCACAAATCCATCAGATTGTTGAGGAGAAATATCCCTGATTAAAGTACCTCCATAATATTTTGTTTTTTTTTGCCATTGACAGTCTCAGAATGAAATTCTAAGTGTCTGAAACATAACTCAAATTCCCCTTTAACTTCATATCACCTATTCTACCTCATCCTCATATTGACATTTTGCTTTTTGATTCCGTTTTGCTCACCAGTTCTCTTTTTTTTTTTTTTTTCAGATTATTTGGTGAATCGAGCTGAAATCACTCTGGGTTCGATTGATAAAATGCAGCAGAGCCACCAGGTCTACATGGGAAACAGAAACGGTCAGTAAGCTGTGTGCGCTTTGGGTTATGAGTATGTTAACCCCAGACCATGAATGTATCTAATGCCTCTCTACTCTTGTTCAGATGCCAGTGGTTTGTTGAGAGCAGTCACACAGTTCTCCCACCTCGCTGCTGACACGATTGTTAACGGAGCAGCGACATCACACTCTGCACCCACTGACCAGGCCGACTGTAGGAGACACACACTCACACACCAACTGCCAAGATTACATGTCAAATACATTACGCGCCAACAGTCAACATGCTGTCCCTCTTTCCTTGTCTGCTGTGCAGGTTTAACTGACAGCTGTCGGGATTGTGCCAATCACTGCCTTCAGTACCTGAAAGATCTGAAGCTTCAGGCCAGTTTACCCAGAGCTGATCCATCTGCGATACGCTACACCGTTCAACGGCTCCTCGCTCTGGGACAGGTGAGACTGATGTTTATCTTTGTTAAAGACAAAAGAAGCTTTGAGCTAAATCCTTAACTTTAACATTTTGACAAAGGTTAATTAATGTGAAACAAATATTCACATGCTGAAATCAAATCAGAAATGTTCATGTGGTGACATGGAAACCCCACCCAAGTTACTGTACTCATCACAAGTGTTTCTCTTATAAGGCTATACAGCTCAAGACTTTTGCTTCCAGCTCTTGTTTAAAATCTGACTGTATGTCTTCTGTTTAGGAGTTGCGTCCGAAAGGGCAGGATGTGCTGAAGGAGGAGCTGGGATCAATGGTAGATAAAGAGATGATCGCTACATCAACTGCAATTGAAGAGGCGGTGCTGCGAATGGATGTAAGGAAATGCTCACGTTTAAACACATAACTTCACAAACTCCAAAAAACTCCTCCTGATTCCTAATGTCTCTCATTCAATTATTGCTTCACAGGAGATTATGAATCAAGCAAGGAGAGACACCAGTGGTGTTAAGCTTGAGGTCAACCAGAGGTGAGACGAACACCACATCTAAAAACATAACACATAAAGCTTCTCTCCCTCCCTTTGTTTGCTCTAACCTGTGTGATTTCTGTTTCATCACAGCATCCTGGGTTCCTGCTCAGACTTGATGAAGGTAAAAAAATCAGTCTACCATAAGATGTATTTTTATGAACTAAGGATCATTTTTATTCAGTACTTCTTCTGCTCTTCCCGTTTCCCTCCAGGCTGTTCATATGCTGGTGACAGCTTCTACTGACCTTCAAAAAGACATTGTGGAAGGAGGAAGGGTGAGTCAGTGTAATACATTGTCAATTAAATATCAAATTACAAGACCATATCAGATTTTCTCCCAAGCAAATATTAAGCATACTTTTGATTCTAAAAAGATTGGTAGAGTTGAAAATATGAGACGACTTTACAAGGTCATATAACCTATTTATTTACACAGTTTCAGTTTCATGTATTCCCCAAGAGACAAATCAACCCTCTCATTGTACAGCTACAAGATGAAACGATGCGATGTGATGATATGCGATACGATACTATGCAATGTGATACGATACGATGTGATGCGATATGAAGTGATGCGAAAAGATACAGTGCGATATGATGCAATACGATACAAAGTGGTGCAATAAGATAAGACTCTTTATTGTCCCCTTGGAGAAATCTGTTAAAGTTTATTAATAAAATATAGCGTATTATTCTACTTCTAACATAAATCGGGGCACCAGCTCAAGAATGAGCATAAATTAACTAACCTTAGTTAATTAATTAATTTATAAATCTGTCTCATATCATTGGGGTAAATTCTCAAGCAGTTAAAACCATAAAAATACGCAGACAAAGTACTGAAAATTTAAATTTAAATGTGAAGTTTAATTAAGAAAAATGATGAACAAAAGATATATAAAGGGAGTAAATATGCAAAGGATATAATTACGACAGTGATACTGACGTGACAACGTAAATAATAACACTGAATAATAATAACCTGAAAAATAGTGGTAATTATAAGATGGAAACGAGGTCTGCAGGTCCTGTGATTCTGAGCTTTTTTGGGAGCAAAACGTGAAGAAAGCAAGAATGGTACGAAACAAGAGTGCACGAAAGGCAACAAGAGAAGTGAAAATAAAACAAGAGAGTGAAAGAAAAACTAAGAGTGAAGAGTTTGTGAAGATGGGCTATTTTATCAATAATTAATTGTTCATTAATTTGATCCACTCCGAGTTCTTACTTATTAAGAGTATAAATAAGAACTTGATCATATGAACATCACCATGTCAATATTTGTATGTAGATTATTGTATTATCTCAGACATCAAACATTTCAAACAAAGATGTAATGAATTCGCATTACGTTAAACCTGAGGACAGTCAGACGATTTCTGCCTGGATGGAAATAAAACCAGCGTTATAACATTCAACATTCTCAAAAACACATTAATATAGTATGAAACGTATAAAATCATATCTTCAAATACCATCTCCTATAACTAGAACAAAATAACATAATTAACGTATCATCATTTCTTCGATCCTAAAACTTAGATCTGTGCAGCAATCTTGCCACTAGGGGGCAATAGTGCTCCATGTAAGGTTCAGTGAAAGTTCATCAGGTTCATATGAAAAGACTTCCTACATGTATAATTCCGTCATAGATGATCGTAGTGGAATCTAACGCACATGAAAATGTTACTCTTGATGTCACAATTATATATATCCGATTCAGGGATTGAACCCACATTCTTTTCTATCAGAAATTGAGCATGTTGGTTAGGACAGATTCTTCATCAGGTCTAAAACTGTTAGGTCAGTTGTTGAGATAGTCCAGAGGAGGGCTGGGTAATATATCGAGTTTTTAAGATATATCATATATTTTCAAGCAAGATATAGGGTAAGACAATATCGTTAATATCGATATAGTTTAAGTTGCATTAAAATAACGTTATAGAGGTGCCAGGTCACTTTTTTCTCATCTCTGTGATGATGACTGACTGTTTGTCCCTTTTAACCCTGCTCCTCCTCTCTCTCTCTTTTATTGTATTTAAGGAACATTTTTATTTTATTACATTACTTTTTAAATTCACAAACAGTTAGTTTATTGTGTTTATGTGTTTTCACTGTTAATAAAATACATATCGATATATATCGAGTATCGCCATTCAGCTAACAATATCAAGATATGAGTTTTGGTCCATATCGCCCCAGCCCTTGTCCAGAGCACATCAAAGGCATCCCCTGCCGTGTTGATTAACTCGGCTGTGTTCCTGAGTTGTTCCTGAGTTGTGTTTATTCTGAGGTCGTTCACACATAGCCAAGTGTTCAGTTTTACCAATGTAGATTAAAGGATTATTCCAAGGGGTTTTTTGACATCCTGTCTTCATATTCCAACGCAAAGTCTCTTTCAAACAGTTAATCGATAAGTTGTGTTTTCTTATCAGCAAACAGGAAAGGGTTGTTTTATTTTTTTGGGTGAGTTTGAGGTTATTCGAGATCAATAAGTTACAAAAACAAATAGTCACTTTGATTTTAACCTTTACTCACAGAAGCGAATGATTTACTGACTTTTTGAATGAATAAAAAATAAATTCAGGCTGTATTGTCCCTATTTTTTCTCTATTTGACTCTATGATATGTTTGACTTTGAGAAAGGGAATAAATTCCATATTATTAGTTTTATAACATCTTGATTTATTCTGATTACCGCTGAAGCAAAAAGCCGAATTAACAGTCGCGTGTCAACAATAACACATGTCAACACATTTTTTTCTACCACAGGGCGCAGCTTCTGTTACAGAATTCTACGCCAAGAACTCTCGCTGGACAGAAGGACTCATCTCCGCCTCCAAAGCCGTGGGCTGGGGCGCCACACAGCTGCTGTAAGTGACAATTTTAGTCTTATCAGTTAAAAGTTATTCCATATCTATTCTTAATATATCAAACTTTTTTTTAGTAACAGTACATATGTGTTTGCCTTGTTACTGTCAGAGACTCTGCTGACCGCTTTGTGGATGAAAAGGTACACATGAGGAGCTCATTGCCTGCTGTCATGAAATTGCTGCGAGCACGGCGCAGCTGGTTGCCGCCTCAAAGGTAGGAAATCAAATCACAACATCAACAAGCCATTTTGCTCCGATGAGCAAATATTTGACTCGTTACTCCATCCATGTGGTGATTTAATTGTCTTCTTTCGTTGAAGTTCTGTCGTGCTGTGATGTGTCATCATTTCAGGTGAAGGCAGATCGTAACAACAAGAAGCTGAGCACGCTGCAGCAGGCGTCGCGGCACGTTAATGACATGGCTGCCGTGGTGGTCACCTCCACCAAACACGGGAAGCGGAGGACCAGTGAAGGTGAGAGGAGAAACTTAACAACTCTGGTTACATTAGACGTGCATTAAATGATTTATCGGGTTACTTATTGGCAGCGGAAGGAAGCTGTGAAGCAACATCAACATAATATTGCAAACAGTGATCGGACATTTAAATGCAATGAACTCTCATGTCTTCACAGGTGTTATGGACTTCTCTGGCTTGTCTCTGATCAAGCTGAAAACAGAAGAAATGGAAGCGCAGGTGAGGATATCTAATTATCTAATCAAATTTTTTTCCTCAACTGTTTATAGGTTCTTGTTTAAATTGCACATATATTTTTATCCCTGCGCGGGTTATGTGCATTTCTTGTATAAGTCTATTTTTAATTGCACAGTTTAAGTTTGATTCATCTAGGGTTATTCTTTAAATCTTTTTTTTGGGTTAATATATATGCATGGGTGGGGTGCGTCGGTTTTGTGGTTTAATTTGTAACAAATGTTTCATGTCATGTACGTCTTTGTAACCTGCTACTGGATGCTTTGAATTTCCCTCGGGATCAATAAAGTATCTATCTATCTATCTATCTATCTATCTATCTATCTATCTATCACATCCTAACATTGACAGCTGGAAGGTTCAGAACTGTATTTAAGATCAACATTATTTTGTTTTGACTCAGATTGTGACTAAGTGTAACTACTTAAACTCTGAAATAAATACTCACAGATGCACAAAGCAGTAAACTATTTTTAGCACACACAGCACTTTGTCTCATTTTCTCCACAAGAAGGGAACACCGAAGGTTCCTGCAGGAAATTCTCTCCAAGAAAAGGTCATGGTAAAGGGTGCTTTATCTAATTACCTCCTCTAAGAGATCATCCCAGAGGGCACTTTGTGTAATTATCTTAATAAGGGGAGAACATTTGCCCCAAGAAGGGGGCACTGCAGAGGGTCCTGTGACCCTTTTTCCATAGAGGACAGTTAATGAAACTGTCCCCACTAAGAGAAAGTCTACAGAGAACTTTAGCAGTAACAGTCTTTAGAAAACTTTAACTAACATCTACCACTTAAAGGAAGAAGATACAACATTTTACACATAAATATAGAAGAAATCAAGACTATCCTCGGTAAATATCTGTCTGAGTCATGCCTGTCTACGATGAGTGAGAAGCGCGAGTCCCACTGACAGTGTTGTTGTCGTGCCATGTTTACATGGACGGGACGGCTGACTCCTCCCCTTGCGTATAAAAGCTGTTTTAGTCAAGGACTAGGGAAAAGAAGAATAAAATACTTACTGCTTATGTGGATGTCCTGGAAGCATTTTTGGATCACGGTCATTCCGTGTCAATTCACATGCAATGTGAAGCTACGAGCTAACTAAAGAGTGCAAACATTAGCCTGCTAGCACAGCAATGCAGGCCATAGGCAGCTTGAAAAAAAATCAATCAAAAAAGCAGCACATTCTTCCTTTAATGGGAATCTCAAAGCCAATTTTGTCACATTTGTATTTCTTGTGAGGCATCACAGAGGGCACTTGAGTGCATTTTCTCCACTAAAAGGGCACCCTATCGTGTCTGCAGCACTGGAAGGGAAACTATGAGGGCACTCTTACTGAGTTTCCCCCACTAAAAGGCCATCTGAAAGATTTATTCAACTTTTCACTTTAAGGGGCAAAAGGAAACTTTATCTTGTTTTCTCCACTAACAGGGCACCAGAGAGGGCAATTTATTGTGCTTTTTTTTTTTACTTTAAGGGTAACTAAACCTAGAGAAACCTTGATGGCGCCAAAAACAAAAGGGGTAGGGTGGGGCATGAGACTTCGAAGGTTTTCAAAATTAGATTTTTACATTTTAAGTTCAATTATTACACACTTACTGGATAATTATAAATATTTATTTTGTAAGAGGTATAGTGTGTGGGCCAGTTTCGTTGTGATTCTGATTAAAAGGAGTTCATGTAAAAATTGATGTTGGTTTTTGTTACATTATTTAGCATTCTCCTCTCGGGGGGGAATCCCAGAGAATAGTTATGCTGATCTAAAAATAGTTATTTTTAAGGGGGTGAGTCTCCCTTAGTCCACTGTTGTTGAAGATGTTCTGCTCTCTGGGCCTCTCAGGTGAAGGTGCTGCAGCTGGAGAGCCAGCTGGAGCAGGAGCGAGTCCGTCTAGGGGAGCTCAGGAAGAGGCATTACGAGCTCAACCCCCCCGAGACCGGCGTCGCCGATTCTGAGGACTTATCGGATAGCTTCCCACCCCCTCCACCACCCACTCTGCTGGACTCAACACCAGAGCCTGAGTCCTGTTCACAGACACAGCCGTACCAGAACACCCAGAGCTTTGCAAGCACCAACCCGTTCGCACCAGCTCCAACAGTCTTACCGCCTCAAGCTTACACTCCACCACAACCTCAGTCATACACACCTCCTCAAAGCTACACTCCTTCTACTACCTACACCCCTCCTCAAACCTTTACACCTTCCCAGCCGTATGTCCCATCTCAGCCGTATGTCCCATCTCAGCCGTATGTCCCATCTCAGCCGTATGTCCCATCTCAGCCGTATGTCCCATCTCAGCCGTACACACCAAACCCATCACAAAGTTCCTTAAATCAGTCGTCTTACTCACCATCACAACCCGCCTCAAACACATCCAGCCAAACCAACCCTCAGACACTGTCACCGCCCCAGGCGACGTCGCAGACCACCTCGCAGAGCCCCAAACTGTCTCTAAGAAAGCCCAACATCTTCACCAAATCTGGAAACTTGCTGAAGAATGCTGTAAGTCCTGAAATCAATCTGCTAGACCTGAATATTCATCAAATATAAATCTACCACACTGAATGAGATGATAACTTCAGTAGACTGGTGTTAAGTTAATCTTTTCTTTTTCAATTACAGTTCAAACGAGGAGAAACTGGATCAGGGGAATCTTGAAACCTGACCAAAGAGAACAAGATATCTTACCAAAGAATCACTGGAAATAAATGATGTCGATTCATATGTTCAGAACACTGCCTTAAAGCCTTTATAACCCTGGCTCTGCAGTTAGGTTTTAGGAGCTTAAAAACATGATTGTTCAGTTAAATGTGCATATTTTATGGTCATGGAATAAATTTTTCTCATTATTTTGAAACCTTAAGTTATGTTTTTGTTTGCTGTTATATTGATTAAATGCTTTTAATAAAATCAGAATACAGCACTTTGTTCAAGTGTTTTTTCACATTTCTTTTCTAATCAAGATTAATGATGAATCATGAGTCCCAATAGTTACGACATTTTTAAACTTCCAGTCTTAAAAACATTTTGTCGGCCACTTCTTATTTTGTAGAGCAACAAACAGAGCGCTGTTTTGACAGATTTCGACCTGCTCTGCCCAAACCTGTGATATTTTCTGATGAGCTGACTCGTAACAGCTACAAAAGCTATTGCCATACATTTCTTAGACCAACATTATTATATGATGTCAACTTAATGTTGTGAAAGGACTTTAGCCCAAAGTAATTATTTGACATCATCCTAATGTCATTATATGACGCCAGCTGGGGCGTCATTATTTGACATCAACATGACATCATAATACAACTTCAACCCAAGGTCGGAGCATTCCACAACTCCAACATCAGGAAATGACATCAGCCCAATGTCGGAAATTACATCCATCAAATGTCATAATATGACGTCAGGCTAACGTCATGAATTAATTGATATAAGCCTAATCTTTGAGTAGGATGTAAACCCAACGTCAAGCCAAACTCTTCACCAACAGCAACAAAATCTAAAGAGAATCTTCAGCCCACTTCCTGAGTAATATTTGATGAATGATTTCTTACTCTCATTTGTGTAAATATTTCTTGTACTTCAACCCTTTTCCAGTTTTCATTCTTATCCAACTACCTGCATGTTGCATGTTGTATCACCACCAGGGGGCAGTAGTCTATTAAATATAGAGGCGTTTCACCATGGATTTTCCATTTACATCTTCTAGGCAGCTCGCCTTCCTTATGTATCTTTACAAAAAAAGGCAGGATAATTTAAGAAAGAGTCGACAGAAGCTGATCAAAGAGCATCTTTTTGATCAAAATGTCTTCTCTTAAATCTATGATTGCCATGTCCGGTCTGACTAGAAGTGAGGCGCTGTCACTATTGAGTTGAGCTGCTGGTGAACTAAACAGAGAACTGAACAGTGAACAGTGAACTCAGTTTGCAAATTGAATAATTTCCACTTTATTGAAAAGCACCAAACTCTCTAAATTGAAAAGGGCTACCCCACATGAGACTGTCACAGTAGTATCATCTTAGCACTGACCAGATATGAAAATATAAGCCATCGGTGTCTCCATGTGTATACTGCGTCTCTTATTCCATAAAGACTTTTATCACAAAATGGTTGGGTTTGGGCATGATTAATATTTCTTCTCATATTCAGAGTGTATCAAACTGTTGCTTGTGAATCTGTTCTGAAAAATCCTGAAGAGGGAGCTGTTGTTTTATGAAAAGGATAAATCACAGTTGTGATGTAATTAGTTACTGTAATCAGTGAGTAATGTCTCTTAAGAGGAAATCCTTTTTGTAGTCAGTGCCAAAAAAGTGTTTTATACCTTCTGAGTAACAGCTGCATCAGCAATTTTCCAGAAACTGATGAATAATTTAATTGGCTTGAGGTATACATTTTAATCCAGAGTTGGGGGCCCAATGAAGTTGCTAATTCTGTGGACTTGATGGAACTGATGTCAACACTCTGCTTATAGGTTATACACAAATTCACCATTCACTACAGCTGCTATTAGCATTTCAGTAGTAGCATAAATGCTTTTTATTACCTATCAGTACCTTATTTTGCAGCGCTTGGTGTTTCACTAGACACTTGGTCTTCTTGCTATGCTTTTCCTTATCAATATGACATTTCTCTTCCCATGAAAGGCTGAAGTACTGTTGGTGAGATTAAATTTGAAATGTCTTTAATCCATTTAGTGATAATTTAGCTCTATGAAATATATGAATTTAGCACTGTGTAGAGCTGATAATGTAATGAAAGAATCCATTTTGAAAATGTTCTTTATGATGCCTCTTTTGTTCTTGAATTTTTACCTCTTAGTCTTCTTACTCTGTCAGAGACAGTTTTCATAATTTTCAATCAGTCTTTCATTATGGTTTAACAGTAATTGAATTTTCATACGGGGCAATTATTCTTCATTTAAGGGTTATTTCCATTAATTTGAAATTGTTAACTGTCTCTTTTGAGTGACAGAAGATATGGGTATTTGGCCACAGAGGAGCTCCACCACTCCAGGCGTATTCACTGACATTACACCCCTGCACAGCACAAGTTAGAAGTAGGGGTTCACAGATTATGCCTCTACAGATACTGTCATTATGAAAATAGAGGATTCAATATGCATAAAGAGTAGAGCTTATACAAATCTCTCAATGTTTCTGGAGGTCTATCCTCAAAATTGTATTTGCTAAAAAAGCAAAAAATGTGAAACAGACTGAAATTAATACTGATGCCTCTTTATGACTTAAAAAGGCAAACAAGATCATCAGCAACAACACTGATTATTTCTTTGCCATTTTTAATGTCTGTAAACACTGCCTCAGGGTAGGTGTCAGTCCAGTGCAATATCTGTACGCTGAAGAAACAAAATTTCACATTTTACAATGCAATAATTAATATATTACACTTTTAAAAGAACATTACGTTGGCTGTAATTACGAATATATAGAGAGCTAAGATGTGTTGCTTTGTCCACAGGAGGGCGCCAAAATTGACACAAACCAAAAGTTCCTCATAGGAGCTTTAATGTGGGGCCAGCTTAATTGTTTGACCTATAGCCTGTCATGAACATAGCCCTAAATGTTTTCATGGCCATAATATTTGCCCATAAATCGATAGGCACATTTTTTAAATCATTTCTTTCAGTTTTAAAGTAATATAACACAGTTCTCCTCACTACAAAAAAGTTTATAATGTTTGTAGTTTGGTTTCAGCTTTTAGCTTTTACCCCTTACACAAAAATGTCGTTCTGTCTGGCAAGTAGGCCTATTTCATAGCCCACTGTAGTATTTTGCTCAATAATGTCACATTGCTGCCATTGGTATTTTGTGGTCCAGTGGTCCGTTTCGTTTTTGTGTGAGTAAAAATATACATTTAACTCTTTCCCATTAGCATCTGCTGTAAAACTACATGTGTCTACATGTGTTGCTAACATTAGTAAATGTTGAAATTGCATAGCATAAGCGCATTTAGACCATGAGAGCACACTGCTGTTAGCATTTAACTTTAAAGTGCAGTTACTGAGGAAATCACTTTATTTGTACTCGTTTGTGCTTACTGAAAAAGGTTATCAGACCAAAACAAATGATTGAGACTAAGAAATATTTACTTCAGCATGTTAGCATGCTGCATGCTGTTAGCCATTCACTGAAAGCACTGCTGTGTCTAACTCCAGCTCACAGAGCAGCTAGGAAGGCGGCAGATGTTCTTTTTTCCAATCAGTTTCCTCTCTGAAGCAAATGATAATCCTGTGGTTTTCCCCTCATAGTTGAAGTTTGAGCACTGGGGCTTTGAAGACGTGAAATATCATGAACAGATTTGTCAGTTAAAAGTGGGAGCGATTTCTCTGTCTGGAGGAGCTGATTTTCTGATTCAACACTCAGAGGGCCACATGTTATAGAAGTTATCTTTGACACCATGCTAAGAGATTCAGGAGGAAGATCCCACTTGTGAAATTTGATTTCAGATATTTCAACACGGACCGTGCACTGTGTGTAGGTTGTTCTATGTGGGGTTGGTATGGATGTCTCTCTCAGCTGTTTCTCCTCTAGTGGGAGTTGAAAAGAGGAGAGGGAGACTCCTTCACCCATCATTGTACCCGTGCTCTCTCCCATAAAAGCAGACATATATTGGATCTTTTCTTTGTCTTAGACACCTCTCTGTCTAGTCACGTCTTGAATTTTCTTGCTCTCTGTTCATGACAGACTTAAAAGACTTTAGTCCAAGATCTTGCTCACAAGTGCTTCAAAAAGTTCAGATCAAAATTCAAACCTTAAGGAAAGAGTTGACACAATGTTGTCTACTCTGAGTGTTTGTTTTTGATCATTATTTCTTGTAAAATGCACCAAAATGTAAAGGTGAGTACACAGCTCCATTCAAACACACGTTGCAGCCCTGTTTCGGGATCACACTCAGAAAACGGCTTCTCAGTGAAGGTGAGACATCATAGGGGTGAAAATACCTTTAACAGGCATAGTGCCTTTATGTCATTTCTGCATTTATTACTATGACTAGATGTGACCTTAGGTGTTTATGTAAAAAGTTCCACAAACGTCTGGACCTTATCTCTGTTTTGACAGCCTGGGATTTCGGCAGCTTTTGATATCTCGTGCTAAAATAGTTTAAAAAATAGTAAAATAAAACAACAACTCTAATTCCCAAAACAGTGGTCATTGTAAAAGTTAACATCAAGTTTTTAGTACCCGTCTTTGTTGCCTTTCATTTTCACATCCTGAACCTGAGACTCTCAAAATCCACCATAGCAGCAGATACTGAGTAATAGCTCCTGAAAGCTGTTAGCTGACATGCAGATCGGCAGCTGAAGCGGACACTTCTCCTCCTTTAACTTCTCAGTTTTAATGTATCACCTTGAGCTCCACAGGGCATCCTCCCAGGAGTCCCTTTGTCTATGAATGCTAATGGGATCTCTCTGTGTTAATAATAAATAGCCGCTGATAAAATAATAAATTCCTAATGTCCCTCTCAGACCTTTTCTCCCTAGCTCTCTTCCGTCTCAGATTAGTTTATCAGGGTTTCGCCGCCCCAAACACTTTGGGCTTAATTATTTAAAAAGCCTGAAAAATTCATATCCTTCTTTTTTTTGGGTGCAAAAGCCATCGTTCAGCCTGTGAATATTTGGAGAAAAAAAAGGGGCATAGGGGAATGAAATATTCAGCAGCATGCAGGCCCTTCAATTATTATTTTTTTTCCAGTGCATGAATGTTAAAAAACACATGCAAGCTGAAATGAGCATTTTAAGTTGGAATAATTCCTACAGCAATATAATACAGCTTAATTATTCAGGGCTAAATCTCCCTGCTGCCACTTTACACATTTATGTTTAATCACATTCAG